TTTTGAACCAGGCTGTAAACATGTTCATCTCTGCTGTAAAAACAGGCTTTTTAGAATGGGTGTGTATGTGACTTCCTGTGCTTCTGCAGCCAGCCTCTAGTGGACACTCCAGGAACTGCAGGATTTTACACTTCATTGGCTTCAGTTTTAAACACTGAAGGTTGCTGCTTGATGTTCACAGATCTACAGACACCAGTCACATATGTGGAAACATGGCGTTTTTAGATGTGAAAGCAACAAGCATTGTAAAGAAAATAGTGTAACCATGTGGAGATGTTTTTTTAATGAATAAGAGAGCATGTTTCCTCTCCTGAACTGCTGCAGAGCATCTTAATCTACCCTTAGATTTATATTGGGGAGAAGTTAAACACCCCGTCCTCTTTTTGCCTGCAAAGAAATTATAAATTATAAGATTCATGCTGATACGACTGATCATTTCCTCCTAAATGACACCTTCCCTCTAATAGCTGCTCCATGTTTCTGTCCAGTCGTTAATCTCCTCATTTCCCTGTTTGTGCTCTGATGTGACAAACCTTTCATTCCTTGTTACGTCGCTCTCTAATGTGAAATGTCGGAGCTGTCGAGGTGTGATAATAAAGTCCTGCTGTTAATCAGAGAGTGTGAGAGTGAGAGACAGGCTGCGGGACTTTATGACAGACAGACTAACGAGCAGTTCTTTCACCATCAGGACAGTCCAAATGAGTTTCCTCCTAAAGGCATTATCATCTGTTTAAGGAGGAAATGTTGTGTCATATGTCAAAAACCTCAGCTAAGTTTGAGAAAGAAGTGACCATGTTTGGATGAGCGGGTGGAGCTTAAATAGGCCATACCCCCCAACTATCCAGTGGACACTGGAGGAACTGCAGCTGTAAAGTTGAACATTTTAACATAGGGCTCTATGGGGACTGACTCACTGCAGGAGACAGACTCTAGTGGACACTGGAGGAACTGCAGCTGTAAAGTTAGACATTTTAACATGGGGCTCTATGGGGACTGACTCACTGCAGGAGACAGACTCTAGTGGACACTGGAGGAACTGCAGCTGTAAAGTTAGACATTTTAACATAGAGCTCTATGGGGACTGACTCACTGCAGGAGACAGACTCTAGTGGACACTGGAGGAACTGCAGCTGTAAAGTTAGACATTTTAACATAGAGCTCTATGGGGACTGACTCACTGCAGGAGACAGACTCTAGTGGACACTGGAGGAACTGCAGCTGTAAAGTAGGACATTTTAACATGGGGCTCTATGGAGCCTTCAGGTATTTTTTTTTGCATCATACAAACAAGTATTGCATGAAACCTGTGTTGTTTAAGTAATGTATTCTGCTTTGTAAAATATTCAGATTTTTTTTCGCTATATGTTGCTGTCAGTACAGCGTGAGTTTTTAAAGATAAAGTCCTCAGAGGGCACATGATCCTGGAGGGAAAAGAGCAAAAGGTGTTAAAAGCGATTTATTGAGAAGGAAAACTCAATAAACTCTGAAGTGATAATTCAACTAAGTAACACTTCAGTACATCATCACTTCAGTCTCTAATGCTGCTAATGATGACGGGAGAGTGAGTAATATATCAGTATTAGTGCCTGTCACCTCTCATCACATCATTTTAAAGCAGAGAACTGTTTAACATCAGCTGAGGAGTTTCAACACCTCGAGTGACCTTTGAAGAGGAGTCCGTCCAGAGACCGAGTAAAAATGCTTCGATTCCAAGACAAGATCAAGACCTTCAAAAAGTGGTCTCGAGACCAAGACCGATTTCAAGTACTAGAACACTACAGTAAGATGTTAAATGTGTCACTGTTTAATGTCAGAATAACTAGCTCTGAGAAGCTAAACCTGGGACCTTAAGAATACGCCTCATTGACACTGAAACCAGATCGTCTTAGTCATTTGTGTTTAACATCTGATTGACTCAAAATGGGACCTTAATTTACTAAATGAACATCATGCTGCGTTGAAGAAAACTTGACACTACAGATCGAGACAATAAAGACGTTATGTAAATGTTTACTGAGGGAATAAATCACCTGGCAGTCTGTGTGGTCTCTACGTCCTAAAGAAAAATAATCCTGATCATATGTTTGAGACATGTTGGTTTTTGTTGCGTGTTTTAAACTGTGTGCAACATGAACTCTGCGACCTGCGCTCGTGACAGGGTTCCTGAGGTGATGAGCTCCATCAGCAGGTGAGTTACATCTGACAGAGTTTATTAAAGGGGATGTGAGGAGCTGCAGGAGCACTGTGACAGCTCACACTTCAACTGTCAACACTGATTAAGGTGTCAGGGGCTCATGTGAGGAGGGGGCTGTCTGACACTCACTAATCTCTGCATGATGGTTTGAACCCAGGGATGGAGGATGACAGGAGGAGGAAAGGACAGGAGAGACAGGGGTCAGGAGGAGGAGGAGATGAGGAGTGATGAGCGATCACAGAGATGAGTCCTCAACAGATGTGCTTCAATATAAGGGCGGGGGGGGGGGCTCTCTGGGGAAATGTCCTGATGTGATGTCAAACACTGAGGAGAGGATAGAAGATCCTTCAGCCACTTCTCCTCAGGTACGCTGTAGGGTTCAGATGTTCCAGGAGTCATATTTTGGTGGTTTGCAATTTTTTAGGAGCATTACAGTATGTAACTCTGACACCTAGTGTTTAAAATGGGTACTGCAGGAAACTGCAGATTTCCTCTCATAGATACAAGAAACGCGTTCTCTTTTTCTGCTCTGGATTAATGAATACATTAATAGATTAAACTTGGTCAATAAGAAATGTAGCACAAGCTAAACATTCACTTAAGATTGGCACTAGAATAACAGGTAGAAAGACCACAAGGACAGAAAACTTAAACAGGTTATTTCCCTTTGTGATGAGACCTGATGAAATGAGATTAAGTGGTATCCATTAAAGGAAAGATAAATGAGGAAATATCTGTGATAACATAGACAGTTTGCATCTGGAGGTTTGCATCAGGAGGTTTGCATCTGCAGACCTGAGAGTGCGGGTGGGAGTGTGTCGGTGGAGGAGGTGAGACAGGTAGGGGGAGCCAGGTTGTGAAGGGCTTTGAAGGTGATGATGAGGAGCTTGAAGTTGATACGCTGGGGGATGGGGAGCCAGTGGAGGTCATGAAGAACGGGGGTGATGTGGTCTCTGGTGCGGGAGTGTGTGAGGAGACGGGCTGCGGAGTTCTGAATGTATTGGAGTTTCTTGAGTGAGTGTGATGGTGATCCGTAGATGAGACTGTTGCAGTAGTCTAATCTGGAGGTAATGAATGCGTGGGTGAGGGTCTCGGTAGCTGAAAATGAGAGGGATGGGCGGAGGCGGGCGATGTTTCTGAGGTGGAAAAAGGCTGTTTTGGTGATGTGTTTGATGTGTTTGTCTTAGGAGAGGGTTTGGTCCAAGATGACACCAAGGTTACGGATGTGGGGGGAAGGGAGCACTGTAGAGCCATCGATGGTGAGGGAGAAGTTGTTGGTGGATTTGATGAGGGATTTGGGGCCGATGATGATGACTTCTGATTTGTCGCCGTTGAGTTTGAGAAAGTTGGTTTGAAGCCAAGATTTTATTTTAGTGATGCAGTCAGTGAGGATTGAGTGAGTGGCAGGAGAGATGGCTTTGGTGGCGAATTGGAGCTGGATGTCGTCTACAGTCTCTAAATGTACTATGGGAGGTAGAGCCTTCAGTTATCAGGCCTGCTCGTGGTACCTACAGTCTCCAAATGTGCAATGGGAGGTAGAGCCTTCAGTTATCAGGCCTGCTGGTGGTACAGTCTCTAGATGTACTATGGGAGGTAGAGCCTTCAGTTATCAGGCCTGCTCGTGGTACCTACAGTCTCTAAATGTACTATGGGAGGTAAAGCCTTCAGTTATCAGGCCTACTTGTGGTACCTACAGTCTCTAAATGTACTATGGGAGGTAGAGCCTTCAGCTATCAGACCTGCTCGTGGTACCTACAGTCTCCAAATGTGCAATAGGAGGTAGAGCCTTCAGTTATCAGGCCTGCTGGTGGTACAGTCTCTAGATGTACTATGGGAGGTAGAGCCTTCAGTTATCAGGCCTGCTCGTGGTACCTACAGTCTCTAAATGTACTATGTGTCATGGCTCTCTCACTCTGGCTCCCTCCTGATTGAGGTTCATTCCTTTCACCTGCTCTCACCTGCACACCAGCTTGCCATCTCCTCATCAACTCAGCAGAATATATACCCCGGCTCTCCATCCACTCATAGCCAGATCGTTGTTTCAACTACTGCAGGAGACTCGGCTCCAGCTAAATTAAGTTTCTGAAAAAACCTTGGAAATTAATCTTTTTGTGCTTGTTTTGGTTTTTTGAGTCTCACCCTGTTTTTCCTTTGCTTCAGGATCACCATTCACCCACCTGCCTTCCTGCTCAGCCATTTGCCTCAACCTGCTCTCTGGACTCAAAACTGCTCAGCCACACTCACACCCCTACTCTGGTCTGGTCAGCCTTCGTCCTCTTCACTCTGCTAACCTCTGGAATCTTCAACCTATCTTCATCTCCATTTGCCACAATAAACCTCATTACCAATCAACCCCTCTGTTTATGTGTCCTCCATCTGGGTCTTAAATTCACTGGTCGTAACACTATGGGAGGTAGAGCCTTCAGTTATCAGGCTCTTCTTCTTTGAAATCATTCTCCACAACTGATCAAACATAAACGTTACAGAAGCGTTACATGGCCTGCTCCAACCACCACCTCAGTGGCAAGGAAAATCCTTCCTGCATCTTATCCCATCTCCCACTATCCCATTTTTCTTTGGTAACATAACAATGAGTAATCTTTTGTAATGTGTCTCGAGATAACACTTGTTATGAATTGGCGCTATACAAATAAAGATTGATTGGTAACTCCACAACTGATCAAACATAAATGATACAGAAGATCTGTTTAAGAACCTACTTTGGAGCTTGTTAATCATTACTGTTTGATATCAGAGCCAGTTGAAGTCAAAGTACATTCAGTATTTGTTCAACAACATTGTCACTCATCTTCTCTTTATAAACCTGAAGGCGAGCAGAGCTGCATCAAAGGATGGACACAGAGATGGTGAGTACTTTTTATTGTTTCCTCAAGATCAGTAAGCGTTGGTTGTATCAGTGAAACTGTAAATCTGTAGCACAAAGGAGTATGACTGAACAATGTCACAGATCATGATAATGATGACTGGTACAGTTCAATGTAAACTGTAAGCCGGATGACTGATCCATTAAAGACTTGTCTGTGTTAATAGTTCAACACTGTCTTCTCCAGTCTTCTTTAGGAGTTGCTTTAATGTAATTTTATAAACTTCTGGTAACTAACAATGACTTTGGTGTTTGGATGTTTGTTTCATCTACAGATGAAGCCAACCGTGTTGTTGCTGCTGGCCCTGATGGCTCTGTCTTCAGCCAGTCCTCTGGACATCAGGAGCAACACAAAAAAGAGACAGGGTAAGGTATTAACCGTCTTTATAAGATAGGACAGATGAAGAGAGAAAGGAAGTGTTGAGAGGAGAGAGCAGCAAAGATCGGATTGGAACTAATGCAACAAGGACTACAGCCCCTGTACATGGGGCATGCGACATAACCGCTAGGCTATCTGCACCCCTATTTATAGTTGAAAAAATAATTGTTGGTAACAATTTCTCTGTGTCATCTCTCCAAGGTAACCTTTCACTTTTTGTTTACCTTTCTATTAAAATAAAGTGCTGTTTCCTTTTTTTTTCTTCGGTCTCCTTCATAGAATCAGATCGAAATGACAGTCCCAAAGCCACAGTGAACTCATCAGTGGAAATGGATCCTCATCTTGTAACTGTGGCTACGTTCAGACAGCGGAGGCTGGTCAGACAGCAGAGGCTGGTTCAATCCTCCGCCAGCATGCCAGAAGGAGGCTCTTTCCTGGAATGGGTGACCTGGAACAACTCTCTCCCAAACGATTCAGTTTCCATTTACAATCATTATGTTAATCGTACTGATTATGTCTGCAAATACAAGTGTCACGCTGGTTTTTATACCCCTAGTGAGGGTACTTATTGCCACTATGCCGACGCAAAGAAAGAACATACTGGTTTCCCGTTTGAGGTCCCGGTGAACAAAGACAACTTTGAGATCCTGGAGTGGAAGGATGATTCATATGGTTCAGTGCCCAAGAATTCAGTGAGAACCTGCCCTGGAGAGAACATGTATGTAGGGAAGAACAAATATGGACTTGGTGAGGTTGATACTCAAAATAAGGCCTTCTACTTGCCTTGGAAGGGTTCTGAATATTGGTACAATTACTACCAGGTCCTGACCATCAGTGACAATATAGTCAGCCAGCAGATTGACAATGTCACATACATCACTGATGGATCAGAAATAATAAAATATCCCCCAGAGATCGTGCTTGAGTCCACCATCAAGAACTTTGAATGCCACCCAGTGCTGAGGACAGACACCCTCTCAAAGACGTATCAGGTGACTCAAAGGTGGGACTTCAGTTTTTCTATCACAGCTGGGGTTAAAACAACCTTCACAGTTGGCGTCCCCTTCATTGCTGACGGAAAGATTGAGGTCAGCCTCGAAACAACGTTCCAGTACTCCATGGAAAACACTGTGACAGAAAGTATCACTGATACTGCTTCTGTGCAGCTCACAGTCCCTCCTAACACATCCTGCTCTGTTAATATGATGCGGGATAAGAGCAAGCTTACCATCCCGTTCACTGCACGCCTCAGACGTACCTATGGTAACGGGGAGATTTACACAAAGTCCATCACTGGGACGTATAGTGGTGTTCAGGTCAGAAAAGTTGAGGTGGTGCTTGATAAATGTGAACCTCTAGACATCTCTAATCCATGTGCATGAAATGTAAAGTCCAACATTATGTTTGAAATGATTTATCTGCATGTTTTATTAACTTCCACGTTTTAATGATGACGACACTTTGGCCAAAAGGCAAATAAAAGCAGTCTCATAAATTGAACATGATTATAGATCTGTGCATGTAACTTGATAAAGTGTTGAACTAGAATAAAATGACATGATGGCATTTTAAAGCCCTCCACTGCTCAGAGTTTTCTATTTGTCTTTTGTTTGTTTTTTGTTTGGATGTTAAAGCCTCACTGTGCACAGTGAAGAGTTTTACAAAAGAGATTTTTCTGATGTCTCTGATGTTACCTGAATTAAAATTGGAAAGGAATTTAAAACTCCTGCAGAGTTGGCCGGGCTTCAACTGAACCAGAATGCAGGACTCATACAAGGGCAGATTTTTTTTTAAAATCAGAGTGTAACACACAGTCCAGGTCTGTACATAGGCAATCAGTCAGTGAGTGAATAAAATCCAAAAAACAGAGCAGGCAAAAAAAGGGCAACAGTCAAAAATCAGACAATGGTCAAAACCCTAAAAAACTCTGTGGGAAGAATGCTGGGACAAGGTGACACGACGTGTAACCGGTTGTGTTTTTCTGCTGGACTATGAAGGGTGTATGTCTGTCTCTACTGTCTACTGCACAGGAAGGACGCCACAACAGAGCAGGAGTTGCCCTCACTCTGGTTCTCTTTTTTTATTCTGGAGTTGGTGTGTAAATCAACAGCACACAGTCAGTGCTGATATGCAACTTTAAGGACCCACATCAGAGATTTTCTTTGCTGAGGTACGTACGGTATACAGTCCTTTATACCGTCTCTCTCTTTACCCTTTACAGCGTAATGTCGCCCTCTAGAGGCTACAGAGTGCATCTCATGTCTACTTTAAATTAGTAAACCTGAGAGGAGGGCTTTACGTCTCTGATATCAACAGGACTAACCTGGATAAAAAATGGTTGAATAAATACTAAATAAAAACATGTGTGCACACATCCACGCAACATGCAAAGAGTACAGGTGCAGGACAACAAAACGTGTTAACTGCAGAAAAAAGAAAGAAAGGTCGTCACAGTGTTCAGCACCCAATGAGCAACTTTATTTGAAACATAGTGATGTTTCGATCCAAAAGATCTCCCTCGGGCAAATGTGGCAGGAGACAAACAGTCTCTTCTAAAGTGTAGCAATGAGCATAAAATCACCAGCAACTGTTGAACAAAACAAAATAAAAACGGGCAAAGAAAGAAGGGGACAGATACCCCAGGGAAAAAAAGAAACCCTCGTGAATATTACACAATTTAAAACTTCTTTATAGTTTACGATGTAGCACAAACATATTTTGAATCAATGTTCGTCCTATAGCAAAGATCTAGAGACAGGACTAGCTAATAGAGAAAGTAGAGCCATTAGATTTTAAACATGTATAGAATAAGACGGATAATCTGAAAGCAGCAAAAAGATCCGGAAGTGAAAGATCATCCAAAGCACATCAAAACACCAAATGAACAAATATAGACACCAAAAACCGCAGTTACAGATAAATCTGTGAAATAAACATTTTGATAAACACTAACAGAGGACATGTTGAGTTCTTTTTGTTTGTATACCTTTCTGACTAAACTTCTGCATTTGTACAGTATAAAATGTAATTTTTTACAGCCGAGCACTCTCAGGTCAAGGTTCAGGTTCAGGTGATTTTACCTGCTGATGAATTTGGTTGCTGATGAAGAGTCACATATACTTAAAGAGGACATATTATTCACCTATTCAAACAGTCCTCTGTGGTCTAAATGAAACATCTGTGCTGTGCTTTGGTCAAAATATAACATGAATCCAGCACCAGAGGAGGTTTGTGACCCTGTATGAACCAGCTCTCTCAGAAAGCTTTGTTTTGGTGTGTGTCTCTTTAAATGTATTGAGCCCACCCTGAGTTTTCCCCATAGACATCACTCCTTTGCTAGCAAGAATAAAAATGGCAGACATGTATAAAAGTTTTGCTCTAGGCTGGAGGTGGAGTCCATGGGTGGAGATATCAGGGGATGGGAGGGGATTTTTTTTTTTTACCAGAATCCCTCTGTGACATCACAAGGAAAGCAAATTTGAAACACAGCATTTTTCTCTGTGTTTCTAAGACTTATGCAGACCACAAATAAAGGACTGGATGGGTTAATTTCACATTTTGTGGGTCGGTGGACTCTCAGGTTACCCAAAAATATGTTCAAAAACAAAATGGATTTTTCATAATAAGTCCCCTTTAAAAACACAGACAATATAGAAAACATACAAAGTGCAAATGTATGGTACACGGGTAAAAGTGCATAAAGTGTGCAGTTTCCAATCGTAAATTTGATAAACAAGAAGTTGATCTGTAAAAGTTACAGAGTGTAGAACATTAAAAATAAATAAATGAACCACTAAGAAGCATGACATCAGCTCTCCTGCCTGCTATCTCCGTCCCTCCATACAAGACCTTCATGAAAATACCAATAACCACATCAAGAAGCAAAGGGGGAAAGTACAACACACACACAGATACCATACAACAATTTTGGGATGCGTTCCTTATAAGGTTGATGTATGGGACACCTGAGTTGAACAGAAGGGTCAGCCTACAGTACGTGTGGACGAGGCCTCAGCTGTTGCTCTCCAATGAGCTGACTGGACCACCTCACAATCTGGTTCCAAACACCTCTGTCGACAAAAGGACGGTCAAAAGGGGTCATCATGGTTTGGTCAGTGTTAAAGTTGAAGTTAAACATTCAACTGAGATTGACTCTGGACTCTGGTAGAAAGACCACCAGGAAAGCAAACATAAACAGGTTATTTACCTTTGTGATGAGGCTGGATGAAATAAAGTTAAGTGGTAATGTATCCATTAAAGGAAAGATAAATGAGGAAATATCTGTGATAACATAGACAGTTCATGGTCAAACACGATAGATTATTCGCCTTTGGTCTTTCTCATTAATAAGTTACTTATGAATGTTAGGGGAAACACAAAGGAATTCTATCAAGGAAGCACTTTAATTTAAAATCCATCCTTACTTAACCAGCACATTTTGAAAAGCAATAACTTTCTCAGCCCAGCAGTCCAATATAGACCCTGTCAGGACCGACGTCACGGTATTAGCTGGAAGCCAAACGAAGCTAAACGAAGCTAAACTAGAAGTATACCAGAATCACCACCACAGGCAACATAGGAGTCTTAAAATGTTGTCTTCTGTTGTTGGGCGCCAGATTAGGAATGATAACAGCAATGCCTCCAAACTGAAATTCTACCATTTACCAGCCGCCACTGCCTCATCACAGAGCTAACATAACACGTGAGGCTAACGGTGGTTTAACATATTGCTGTTTCATTCCATGTAATCCAGAACAGTCACACAGACGTCAGTTATATCAGTTATGTAGTGGGGTTGACTTTCAAATGTAAACTGTAGGTTCACTACGTACTCAGTGGCGATCATAGAGTCTATCAGGGCCTGATAAGCAAAAATTCATTGGGGCCCTCCAACCAGTGTTCATCGCCATTATTTCTGTCAGTGACCTGATGCCTACTTGTATGACTCATTCTTTTTTCACTCCCAATCGAATATTCCTCTCACTTTTTTACGCTGACTTTCATTGACAAACTTTGATTTTCACAACAAAAATTCCCTAAATGTACTATGGGAGGTAGAGCCTTCAGTTATCAGGCCTGCTCGTGGTACCTCCGGTCTCTAAATGTACTATGGGAGGTAGAGCCTTCACTTATCTGGCCTCCTCGTGGTACCTACAGTCTCTAATTGTACTATGGGAGGTATAGCTTTCAGTTATCAGGCCTGCTCGTGGTACCTACGGTCTCTAAATGTACTATGGGAGGTAGAGCCTTCAGTTATCAGTCCTGCTCGTGGTACCTACGGTCTCTAAATGTACTATGGGAGGTAGAGCCTTCAGTTATCAGGCCTGCTCTTGGTACCTACGGTCTCTGTACTATGGGAGGTAGAGCCTTTTGTTATCAGGCCTCCTTGTGGTACCTACAGTCTCTAAATGTACTACGGGAGGTAGAGCCTTAAGTTATCAGTCCTGCTCGTGGTACCTAAGGTCTCTGTACTATGGGAGGTAGAGCCTTTTGTTATCAGGCCTCCTTGTGGTACCTACAGTCTCTAAATGTACTACGGGAGGTAGAGCCTTAAGTTATCAGTCCTGCTCGTGGTACCTACAGTCTCTAAATGTACTATGGGAGGTAGAGCCTTCAGTTATCAGGCCTGCTCTTGGTACCTACGGTCTCTGTACTATGGGAGGTAGAGCCTTCAATTATCAGGCCTGCTCTTAGTACCCACAGTGTCTAAATGTACTATGGGAGGTAGAGCCTTTTGTTATCAGGCCTCCTCGTGGTACCTACAGTCTCTAAATGTACTACGGGAGGTAGAGCCTTCAGTTCTCGGGCCTGCTCGTGGTACCTACAGTCTCTAGATGTACTATGGGAGGTAGAGCCTTCAGTTATCAGGCCTGCTCGTGATACAGTCTCTAAATGTACTATGGGAGGTAGAGCCTTCAGTTACCAAGCCTGCTTTTGGTACCTACACAGTCTCTAAATTTACTATGGGAGGTAGAGCCTTCAGTTATCAGGCTCATCTTCTTTGAAATCATTTACCTTTTAGGGTACAGGAGGTAGACACACTCTGTACTTTTAGGATTAAACTTAAAGCATTCCTTCTTGAAAAAAGCTTATAGTTGGGGCAGACGCAGGTATGGACCAGCTCCTAGTTATGGGGAATGGTACCTTGAGCTCCTATCGCTCTCTCACTCCCTCTGTGCATTCACATCATATGTCTGCATGTATCTATCTGTAAATTTAAGTTAATAACCACATTTACCTAGGCTCTACTGAGCTCTCAAGTAGACAGAGCTCCTACCAGCCGACGTCCCTGAGGCTCAGCCACCACCATCAGACTTTGTCGTCCCCACAACCACCGCAATCCTCATTCATGCACGGCCTGCTCCGACCGCCACCTCAGTGGCAAGGAAAATCCTTCCTGCATCTTATCTCATCTCCCACTATCCCATTTTTCTTTGGTAACATAACAATAAGTAAGCTTTTGTAATGTGTCTCGAGATAACACTTGTTACGAATTGGCACTATACAAATTAAAGATTGATTGGTAAGTTTATGGTTAACTCCACAACTGATCAAACATAAACGATACAAAAG